GATCTTGCTGTGATTTATGTCAGAGGGTTCTGCCTATGTTTTCCTCTAAGAGTTTTATAGTGTCTGGCCTTATATTTAGGTCTTTAATCCATTTGGAGTTTATTTTTGTATATGGTGTTAAGGAGTGTTCTAATTTCATTCTTTTACATGTAGCTGTCCAGTTTTCCCAGCACCACTTACTGAAGAGGCTGTCTTTTCTTCATTTTATATTCTTGCCTCCTTTATGAAAAATAAAGTGACCATATGTGTGTGGGTTTATCTCTGGGCTTTCTATCTTGTTCCATTGATCTACATTTCTGTTTTTCTGCCAGTACCATACTGTCTTGATTACTGTAGCTTTGTAGTATAGACTGAAATCCGGGAGCCTGATTCCTCCAGCTCTGTTTTTCTTACTCAAGATTGCTTTGGCTATTCGGGGTCTTTTGTGTTTCCATACAAATTGTGAAATTTTTTTATTCTAGTTCTGTGAAAAATGCCACTGGTAGTTTGATAGGGATTGTATTGAATCTGTATATTGCTTTGGGTAGTAGAGTCATTTTCACAGTGTTGATTCTTCCAATCCAAGAACATGGTATATCTCTCCATCTATTTGTATCATCTTTAATTTCTTTCATCAGTGTCTTATTGTTTTCTGCATACAGGTCTTTTGTCTCCTTAGGTAGTTTTATTCCTAGGTATTTTATTCTTTTTGTTGCAGTGGTAAATGGGAGTGTTTCCTTAATTTCGCTTTCAGATTTTTCATCATTAGTGTATAGGAATGCAAGAGATTTCTGTGCATTAATTTTGTATCCTGGTACTTTACCAAATTCATTGATTAGCTCTAGTAGTTTTCTGGTGGCATCTTTAGGATTCTCTATGTATAGTATCCTGTCATCTGCAAACAGTGACAGTTTTACTTCTTCTTTTCTGACTTGGATTCCTTTTATTTCTTTTTCTTCTCTGATTGCCGTGGCTAGGACTTCCAAAACTATGTTGAATAATAGTGGTGAGAGTGGGCAACCTTGTCTTTTTCCTGATCTTAGAGGAAATGCTTTCAGTTTTTCACCATTGAGAATGATGTTTGCTGTGGGTTTGTCATATATGGCCTTTATTATGTTGAGGGAGGTTCCCTCTCTGCCTACTTTCTGGAGGATTTTTATCATAAGTGGGTATTGAATTTTGTTGAAAGCTTTTTCTGCACCTATTGGAATCATCTAGGATTTTTTTCTTTATGCTGAAGATACTTAATTTTCCAAATCATTATACATGGACCACATGCCTTTCAGTTTGGAGCTGTAGGAAAAATGTTTTCAATCCAGAAAGGATTTTTGTTGGTTTCCTTTTTAGTTATACAGATTATTATCTCTGTTTTGTTTCTTCTGATTTCTTCTTCAAGAACTTCTATTATTTAAGCATTGGTTCTTAGTTTTCCTTTTTTTAAAATCATCTTTCATCATTTTCACTTTTTGCGGGTCTTTTTTTCATTACCATTCTGGGAGAGCTTACCATCTTACTGTTTTGAATTTTTTGCAGTGTCAGTTTTACAGCCTAGAATTCTGTTTTATTTTTTGCTATTTATTTTTCTTTCTTTGCATTCTTTCTCTTCTGAGTTACCTCCATGCTCATCTCCATCTGCCTGTTTTTTGTTTTTTTGGACTGTTTTCTTTTAATTTTATCTTTTCCCCATAATTTATAGTATAACAATGAATGTGATATATTTTCTTTCTTGTGTGATTTAAATAAGATTAACTAAATGAATGCTATAGATACACCAACTCTTTTCATCTACAGCCCTGAAAGTTGTTTTATTAAGGTTGTCATTTGTCTACATTTTGTCTTTAATCCTAAAGAACGCCACAGATGAACATTAGCTACTAGATGGTGAGAATTCCTCAGGCAAGCACTGACGAACCACTGAACTCAGGCACCTTTTCTCAGTTATCTTCCCATTCCTAAGGACTGTCATTGTATTGATAGATACTCAGTGAATATTCGGTTATTGAATTAATAATTTCTTATTGTTCCTTTTATCACTGTTATCTGTTTTATGCTTGCTTGTACTGTTTCACTGTTTGCAACATTTTTAAAACTTAAAGTAGATTATATTCATTTTTACTCACTGAATTGAAAATAAAGAATTTCATCAGCCTTTTAAATATGTCCATCTTCTATATTTATTTGGTCTTAAGTTAGGTAGAAAGTAGCGATTCACATATCAAGCATCTACATTTGGGATGTTATTCCTTTGAATGTAAGTGTAGTATGTGAGTGTAGCATCACTCTTTAGTGATGTTCTTTAATGAGAAGTCCACTTTTAATACATCTAAAATGTCATGTCTCAGTAGCACACATTATAAATCAACTATACTTCAATTAAAAAAATATATATATTATGCCTCTCTTTAAAACACACTCCCGGTCCCATCTTCCAGTTATCAAGTTTATCCATTTCTCAGTATTTTGAATGTGTCCTTTTAACAATTATGGTATTAGTTGTGTTATTCTTGGCATTGTTTGTACTTAAGTATGACAGGATAAGCAATTTTATATCATCTCCCAAACCCTGCTGGTATTTTTGTATGCCAGTCTTTAGTTTTTATGATAGTTGATTTTATTCTTTTATTTTTTCCTTCTGTGTAATTGGATGGCACAATGGGGTAAATTTATGACTCACATGCATTATATTTTTGGCTGGGACATAATTTGCTTTATCAGTTATGTGCTTCCAGAATTCAGAGAATTTTTCACTGGAGTACGTGATTGTAAATCAGTGCTTGGCTGTGGGCCCAAATTTTTTATATGTATAATCTCAACCAGTGAGGGCTTCATAACCCTGATGTTGAGTGGTTTGTGCTTATGTAATTTTTTGAGCTTTCTTTTAATTGAATGATTTTCTCCTGTCTTATTTTCTCTTTTAGTACATAAACAAAAAACTTATATTTTATAAAAGTGTCTTGTTTGACAAGCAGAGTGGTTTTTGTTTTCGTTTTTGTTCTGTTTTGGGTTGGCTCTTACTTCTCTGTCCTAATTTTCGCATTTTTACCTCCTCCATTTTTCTTTAACATTTTTGGCGGTACGTCCTAAGTGTGTCATCTTTATTCATCACTGATTTAATTTTGTGTACTGTCACATAGCTTATTTTCTCTTCATAGTACACAGGTTTAATTTTCTGTGTAGAGTATCATCATGGGTTTTACTGCATGCATCTTTTTCTTTAAACTTTTGGTGTATCCATCTTTTTACTTATATCTCTTCTTCACAGACTAACCCCAGTTATAATATAGTACAGAGTTTTTAATTAAAATCCACTGAACTTTAAAAGTGAGCAAGGGAGAAAAAAACCAAAGCATAGCAGTTATCGCATCATCTCACTGTGTCTTTCTTGTCTAATTTGGAGTTACTTTGGATATATTCAAGACCCTTCTTCAGTGGCACACTTCCTACAGAAAGAGCCTGTGAACCATCTGTGATGTCTTTGTCATTTTCTTTGGTGCTTTGATACACACCTGGGGATGATCGAGCAGAAAAGAAAGAAGTCTCCTGTTCTTAAAACCTGCTGTCTCAGATAAACGTGGTCCTACTGTATATAGCACAGGGAACTATATTCATTATTCTCTAATAAACCATAGTGGAAAAGAATATATATATAACTGAATCACTTTGCTGTACACCAGAAACTAAAGCAAGTTTGTGAATCAACTATACTTCAATAAAAAAATGAATAAATAAATAAAAGCAATATTTAAAAAAAAAAATAGGAAAACCTGCTGTCTCACAGTGGAGCCTGTTAATCACTGCCAAGAAGCTTAGGCAGGGACTTCCCTGGTGGCGCAGTGGTTAAGAATCCACCTGCCAGTGCAGGGGACACGGGTTCGAGCCCTGGTCCAGGAAGCTCCCACATGCCATGGAGCAACTAAGCCTGTGCGCTGCAACTACTGAGCCTGCACTCTAGAGTCTGTGAGCCACAACTGCTGAGCCTGTATGCACAACTGCTGAAGCCCGTGCACCTAGAGCCCATGCTCCGCAACAAAGAGAAGCCGCCTCAGTGAGAAGCCCGGGCACTGCAACAAAGAGTAGCGCCTGCTCGCTGCAACTAGAGAAAGCCCACACGCAGCAATGAAGACCCAATACAGCCAAAAATAAATTAAAAAAAAAAAGTTTAGGCAAATTTATGGTTAAATATGTGATGACTCCTGCTTTTTTTTTAACCTGCCTACTAAAAATCTCACATTTTGCCATATATGTAGTATTTTATATTTGAGATAGAGATTTGACTTTGGTAAAATAGATTAGATATCAGGGACTTCCCTGGTGGTCCAGTGGTAAAGAGTCTGCCTTCCAGTACAGGGGACGCAGGTCAACTAAGCCTGTGCGCCACAACTGCTGAGCTTGCGTGCCTCAACTTAGCCTGCATGCTCTAAACTACAGAGCCCACGCGCTCTGGAGCCCACGTGACAACGAGAGAGAGAAAACCTGCTCGCCAAAACTAGAGAGAAGCCTGTGCATCGCAAGGAAGAGCCCATGCACCGCAAGGAAGGGCCCTCACGCCACAATGAGCACCTCAACAAAAGATCCCACATGGCTCAATGAAGACCCGACACAGCCAAATAAATAAATAAATATTAAAAAAAAAGATGATTAGATATCAGTATTGAGCATCATTTGTCTTAGTATATAGTTTTTAGATTTTTTCATGTGTATTTCTATATAGGTTTATTCTTGGTTACTGTGTGAAATGTCTACATTTTATTTTAATTTTTTTCTCTTACAATCTTGCCTACATTTTAATAATTAATATGGCACTTGTTAAAATAGCTTCTGGAAAAGTTTAATGTGCTACAGTATGCTGATAAAAAGAGGCATGGCATTTGCTGATATCATTTAGCAACCCCTAGCAACTTAAGAGAGATAAAAAAGTAGCCCGAAATATGTACTAATAATGGATTTTATTAAAATAGCTAGGTGTTTTCAATATAATTTTAAAGGTTTTTTGTTGTTGTTCTTCCATTGTTTTTATTCAGATGATGGAAAATAATTTTTGGTTGAAGAAGATAGAAATTAGTGTTTCAGAAGCAGAAAAGCGAACTGGGAGGAATGCCATGAACATGCAAGAAACATATACTGCTTACCTCATTGAAACAAGGTGAGTGATGAGAATTAGGCCTAGGTTTAGATAGAAAAAGCTTTGGTAGCTATTGATGCACATTCTGTTGTATAATGGAATTGTTTACAGGTCATTGTCTTTTTAGGGATTTTTGCTGTTGTTTTACTTTTTAACAGGTTAACAGGTGTGTCTTTTACTCTGGTACTCTTAGTAGCTAAGTTCTAATGTACTTGTTTTGGAGGGAGAGGGAAGATTATTGGAATACTTTTGGGATCTGGAATGTTACTTGACACATGCTTTAGTGGAGTTCTTGTTGTTAGATACAACCCTTTTGTGATTTGGGGAAAAGATACCAGGTTCTCAGGGGTGTATGAAGTATTAAGTGGACTTAAGTAGGTGGAGATCGTTAACGAAGAAGTGTAGGAGGAGAGAATACAGTCTAAGTCAGTTTAGGAGAGTTGGGAGTTACAGAGAAATTAAAATCCCCCCTTTGCCCCTGCCAGCTGTGCAGCATGCAGGACCTTAGTTCCCTGACCAGGGATGGAACCCATGACCCCTGCAGTGGAAGCATGGAGTCCTAACCACTGGACTCCCAAGGAATTCCCCATTTTTAATCTTTTTTCTTTTTTTTTTTGGCGAGAAATTAAAGTCAGTTAAAAATTGATTGAGACTGGAGCTTTAGACCTTGGGGTAAAATTGAAAAGATAAAATAAATCATGGTGTAATCGAAAAAAAAAAAGGAAGAAGATAAAGTAGCTCATGGTGTAATCACAACTCACCAGAAAAGTCTTACCTCATAAGGAAGAAGTTAAAGGAATTAGATTGTTTTGTCTAGAGCAAAGCAAGGGAAGACTCAGTTTATTTTGCCAATTATAAACAGTTTATGTAAAGACTATACTGACAAGGTGTTTTCTCTCTGTGGACTGAGCAGAAATACTTTCAATTAAAACAAGTAGAGGGGGGACTTGCCTGGTGGTGCAGTGGTTAAGAATCCACCTGCCGGTGCAGGAGACATGGGTTCGAGCCCTGGTTCGGGAAGATCCCACACGCCACGGAGCGGCTGGACCCATATGCCATAACTACTGAGCCTGTGCTCTAGAGCCTGCGAGCCCCAACTACTGAGCCTGTGTGCCACAACTCCTGAAGCCCGCATGCCTGGAGCCCATGCTCCACAACAAAGAGAAGCCACCACAATGAGAAGCCTGCGCACCGCAATGAAGAGTAGCCCCTGCTCGCCGCAACTAAAGAAAGCCTGTGTGCAGCAATGAAGACCCAACACAGCCAAAAATAAATAAATAAATAAATCTATTTAAATAAATAAACTAGTAGAGGGACTTCCCTGGCAGTCCAGTGGTTAAGACTCCATGCTTCTGGTGCAGGGGGCGTGGGTTTGAACCCTGGTCAGGGAACTAAGATCATGCTGTGCGGCATGGCAGAAAAAATAAATAAATAAATAAATAAAACAAGTAGATATGAGAGAACTTTCTGATAGCTTCTAAAATAAAATAATAGAACTGCCAGACCTAGTTGATAAAGTGTTCCAGCCATGTTTTAATATGAATAAATTAAAAGGTTTTTTTAGTCATTTTCATTGGCTTTACCACACTGTCACCAAACTAGCCTTAGGGCTGAACCCTTGTGCCATTTTCAGGGTTTTCTCCAGGTCTGTGGTTCTACCCAAAATGAAAGTTAAAATCGTGGTGAATGTCACTTAGTTTACAAATAATTCTGAAAATCCTTTCTTTAACTATAGTCTTCCTTCTTACACACATACATACACACACAACAAGCAAAGAAAACAAAACAAGAAAAGAAAAAAAGAATCTTCCAAAAAGAAGAGAAAATTTGTGTACGATAGGAATTTGGGGAAAAGAACTAAGGTGGGTCTTTTAAAAAATAGGTTGTTTTGGGGCATGCATATATACATGTATGTATCAGATTTTTTAAGGTAATTTTTAAAAATTATGGTCCCATGAGAGAGTTTTTTTTTTAAGCCACTTTAAAAAATCATACTTTGGGGACTGCCCTGGTGGTCTAGTGGCTAACACTCTGATCTCCCAATGCAGGGGGCCCAGGTTTGATCCCTGGTCAGAGACCTAGATCCCACAGTCATGCTGCAACTAAGAGTTTGCATGCCACAACTAAAGATTCTACATGCTGCAACTAAAGAGCCTGCATGCTGCAACTAAGACCCAGTGCAGCCTAAATAAATAAATAAGTAAATAAATCATACTTTAGAAATTCGTGGCTCTAGCTTTCTAAGTAAATTCTTAAATTTAAAACTGAAAAGGATATTTTTATTTTATTCTATTTTATTTATTTATTTGGTTGCCCCAGGTCTCTTAGTTGCGGCAGACAGGCTCCTTAGTTGCGGGAAGCAGGCTCCTTAGTTGCGGCTCGTGGGCTCCTTAGTTGTGGCTTGCCGAAAAAGGACATTTTTAGTATGTGCCTATTTTTTCACCCAATTGAACAATGAAATTAGCTGTTGACTAGTTTTACTGCTGGAAGAGACTCTTGATTTGAATAATCTGGAATGATTTATAGTTTACTCTTGACTGAAATGAATAGAGTATTATAATTTGAAACTTGGAGTTAGAAGTGACCATACATGAGTAATATAGCTAGACTCTGGATAAATATTTAAGTGGATCATCAGTAAATGTGTGGTGCACAAAAGGATTATTGAGTTGACTTTCACAATTGTATTTCATTTATTTTAAAACAGTGATTCTCAAACTTTAAAATGTATAGGAATCACTTGGAAATTTTGTTAAGCTGCAGAGTTTTGGGTGGGGTCCAGGAATTGACACATTTTAAGCAAAATTCCAGGTGTTTTTGAAGCAGATGGACCATGGACCATAGTTTTATCAAGTATAAAGGCTTTACATTTTAAGATAGTTAAATTTATGTCTTTTTTTCTTTTATGATTTGTGTTTTCCCTCTCTTAAATTCTTGCCTACCCCACATCCTGTACATACCCACTTTGAGAAATACTGCTTTTGGATAGATTCTTTTGAAAGTACTGTACCCCTAAGGCTAACTTTCCTTCAACAACCACAGAACCCTGGAATTTATTAATTTAATCATGTAGGATTCTTGCTGTAATTCAGTATTATTCAGATAGTCTTGGACAATATGAGTATTACTGAGCCTTGATATTGACTAAAGTTGAACTTTAACATATAGCTTATCTACCTACTCTTTGGACACAAGTAGAAAGTCCATTTAGCAATTGCCTATAGTGTTACAGTTTAATAGGCTAAGAATGAATAAGGCTAAAGTCATTGATTTTAATTTCTCCAGAGGCTTTTATGCTTTCCTGTTCATAGAGTATGAACCCTTTTAAAATAAAGTATACTGTACGTAGTAATAGGTAAGAATGCCTCGCTGTCTTGGGAGACTATATGATGTCTTCACTTAATTCCTCTAATTTGTAAAACAGGGCTGATGATCCTATCTACTTTATTGTGAGGGTTAAATTAAATGTTGCATGTAAAACCAATTATGTGCTATTAAGTATTTGTTAAATGATTGGATAAATGGGGTAGTTCTGTGGTCCAAAGAAAGTCTTCTCTATGCTTTTAGGTGGTTTCCAGTTGTTAGATCCTGCCTTTTGTGGCCTTTAAAACAAAACAAAACAAAATCAACTTGTAAAAGATCTTCTAACAGCCTTTAGGTGTACTGCTTATAGGCTATATTTATCTGCTTATTAGCAAGATGTGGGTTCTGTTGGTCATGATTTTAAATAATTTGAAACTTGATATTAACCCAAGATATTTTTTCAGCTGAAGTTGAAAATCTGAATTAGAACAGTTTTAGTCATAGCTAATGGTTAGGTCAACTCTTTAAAATGAATTATGATTTAATAATCCTATATCTTTGCCATGGGAGCCATTTGTACATTTTGAATTTCATATTATGCTTCCTTTTCTGTTTCCTTTCTATTATGTTTCCTTTTCTAATATATAATACAATGAATAAATTTAGTGGCAAACTTAATATAAAAATTATTTTTAATTATAATAAATAATAATAAATTATTTTACTTATTTATTATTAAAACGCTTGTGTTGAGCATGACACAGTATATATATCTTCTCAAGACTTGACTTTATTCTAAGACTGATTTAGCCTCTGTGCCTTTATGCCATAACGTACAGATGCACACTTTGGTTATATGCGTCTTTCTTGGAGGGCCTGTAAGTTATTTTCAAGCAAACAATTAGAAAATGGGAAGGTTCTGATAATGTTTAGAAGACTAATGTTTTCTAACAGTGATTATGGTAGCAGAAATTGTAAATAGTCAAAATAATTTCAAATATTCTTTATATGATTTTACCCAGCTTTCCCCCAACTTGAACTTTTATATGGATGAGACATGGCATTGCCTGCAGCTCTTTATATTAAAGATAAGACTAGAATTGAATTTTTACATCCCTTCTCCCCACTGTTTCAGAGTTAATTGGCCTTTTGCTTTTGTGGATTTTTTCAGGTACTTGGATGCATCTGATTCATTTATAACGTTGAATCGAGGGTTTATTTGGTGTCATCGTCTTTGGCATGAATATTATTCCCTCATTGTGGCAGGAATTGTTCTCTCATTGTGGCAATGAAAAATACTTTTTCTTTAATGAAACACTGGCTAAGCCAGACTTTACTGTATTGGAAAGCCAGCTGTTATACATTAACCAAATTATTTTATATTGAGGCTTTTAGAATGTTCCTAATATGACTATTTCTCTTGAGTTCAAATCGGTTTTCTGTAACAGAAGAAAGTAGTTAGGAGTGAAGTCTTGGGAATCAGATGGATCTGAGTGTTCTACCCACAGATCTTTGTGATTGTAGGAAGAGCATGTACTGTGCAGCTGCTTCCTCATCTGTGAAATGGGGACAGTAATCCCTGCTTCACCAGGTTTGTTGTAGGGATTAAATAATACATGAAAAATTCTCTACTCAGTGTCTGGTTCATAAGCATTCAGTAAATGGAGTTATCAGTTTTAAAGGAGGTCGTGTGCATGCATTTGTATTTTTAAAAAACACTAGAAATCTTATTCTGTCTTTTTCAGGTCAGTTGAACATATTGATGGTCAGAGTGTCCTAACAGACTCACTATGGAGGCGGTATAGTGAATTTGAATTGTTGAGAAACTACCTTTTAGTTTACTATCCGCATATTGTTGTGCCACCTTTACCAGAAAAAAGGGTAAGAAGTGAAATGGCAGTATAGTTCAGAAGTATTTAGCATTGAGACTATTCTTCATGGTTGTTTTGTTTATCTAGGCAGAATTTGTTTGGCATAAACTCTCTGCTGACAACATGGACCCGGATTTTGTGGAAAGACGTCGAATTGGTTTAGAAAACTTCCTCTTGAGAGTTGCTTCACATCCCATCCTTTGTAGAGACAAAATCTTCTATTTGTTTTTAACACAGGTATTTTTCTTTTATTTAGTCTTTTTAAAAAAATTCATTTGACTTGGGATTTTTTAAATTTTAAATTGTGGAATGCTTATTCTTAAGGATCCTTTTGGAGCAGCTTTGTTAATTTATATGCATTTCATGGTTTGTTCTGTTTTGAATTTCCAAAGTAAATTACATCATTCTTTTGGCTAACATTTTTATACTTAAAGATACTAAAGATGGTACTTTTTGGTATCACTTAAATGGTATCAGAGTTAGCCTTTAGTTTTTTGAAGCCCAGGTCTATAAAATCTTAGGTTCATCTTTGGTAATCTTTTGGAATCTGGATTGTATGTTTAATTTTGCAGTGAAAGGAATTCTTTTTTAACCTTTCTCTCCCATCTCCCCTGAAAGAAGAACAGAACAATAGGTATTTAATTTGGAATATTCCTTACGGACTATTTTGCAATGATATTTAAAATTAACTTTAATTTTTAGGAAGGTAACTGGAAGGAGACTGTGAATGAAACCGGATTTCAGCTGAAGGTAAGGATAATTGTATGAAATAATTTGTTACGTTCCTTTACAGTTCCTAGCACAGTGCCATGCACTTAATGGGTACTTGCTGTTTATTGAATGAGTAAATGTTGGAAATTGGCTTTGCATCTAATATCATTGGTAAAATTTTTAAAGAAACAATGCAGTTTATTTTTGATTGGTGTAATTTTTGTTAATAGTGAGACTATAATGGGCATATTTATGAGTTTAATTCTATTGGGAAAGAAGATTTTGAAGCAGTAATTTAGATACAGGCTATAGATTTTTCCCACAGTTTAGTCATATTATGCATTGTATATTTTTTTCTTCCCTCTGTCCTTATCACTGCCACTATCAGTGGTGCCCCCATAATTGCTCACTCTATTAAATAGGAAAGACACTTCTGAAGAATTGATCTTGGGTTTTCCAATCTTAGCGGACTAGAAGATGAACCATCAGTCATGCTTCTTCTGTCTACTGGGACATGGCCAGTTTTGAGTGGGCGTAGGATTCATTTTGTATTAGCATCTGTTAGTAATATAGGCCTAATTAGATTTTGACAGCTTTTCATATTCGGTCATTAGAATTAGTGTCTGGGAATGGAACTGTTATCTAAAAATTAAAGAGCATGTTGGTCATAAGATGGCCACCCTAACTCCAGTCTGCTCTCCCTCTTGTTCCCAAAAGTAATTTAACACTGCTGCTTGCAAATTTTTTAAAGTTTTCATTTCCTGTGTAAACTGAATAGGTAAGAAGAAAAAGTAATATAAATTGATATGATATATAAATTGATAAACAATTCACATGATAATGCAGTAACAAAATTCAGTAGGTCTAGGCAACAAGAACAAAATGTCTTTACAGTAATTTTAAGAACACCCCCTAGAGATTTATGTGTTGGTATATAGGTATTTTAATTTTAACATAAAAAGACAAGAGAAAAATTTTTGCACAGAAAATATAATCAAGTATCTAATTCTGTCATCAACCAATTTTAACTTATAAATATATTGTTGGCAGATAACATGAAAAAATTAGTATTTTCTTGGCTATAATTCATTATGGTGCTCAGAGAGAATACTGGAATTTTGGTTTAAAGATGGTTTGAAATAATTCTAAACTTTAAAAAATTACTTATATTTTGATAGAATTTTCTGAGAACTAGTCCAAGATTTCTTAGGAGCTAGTAATAAAGAAAGAGCAAACTAAAGTATATTTTTTTTAGTGATGTCTCTTTATATAAAAAGAAAATTTAAAAAATTTTCGTCATTGATTTAGTCATTAGTTTAGTAACTAGTTATCAGTTGTTTGTCCTGAACTCAGTTTTTGGCCATAACTTGAGTGGCCTTGAGAAAACTCCTAAATTTCTCCATCCATATAGACTATGCTCTTTGTACAGAGTGCTTTGAATCTTGTGTGTAGGTGCTATTTAAGTGTTTAGATACAATGTTTTGTATTTGGGTAGCCTTATGGTCAAATCTTAGTTTCACTTTCATAAAAATCTTTGAAAGGTAATACTCTGTACACAATAATTTGAAAAGTCAGAATTTAAATGAAATGGACCAGACATAAAATGTATGGGGAGAATTTGGAGACCCATGCAAGGAATTGGGACTTTTTTTTTTAATGAAGCAGGGTTTTTTTTAAAAAATGTTTATTTATTTATTTGGTTGTGCTGGGTTTTAGTTGCGGCACATGGGCTCCTTAGTTGTGGCCCGTGGGCTCCTTAGTTGTGTCTAACGGGCTTCTCAGTTGTGGCTCGCCAGCCCCTTAGTTGTGTCATGTGAACTCTTAGTTGTGGCATGCACGTGGGATCTAGTTCTCTGACCAGGGAATAAACCTGTGCCCCCTGCGTTGGGAGCATGGAGTCTTAACCACTGCGCCACCAGGGAAGTGAAATGGGACCTTTTAGGACTACACATACGCACGTGTACGTGCATGCATACATACAAACGTATGTGAGATTGTACGAGAGATAGAGAGAGAAAGACACACACTTCACTTACCTGGAGGTCATGTATTTGGCAGTTACAGCTAACCCAATCACAGTTGAAAGGGGGGATTTAGAACTGACTTCCGAGATGTTCAAATGGATGTAACATAACTTACTATAGTACTTACAGATATACTTTGGTCCTTTCAGATAGTACCCACTTAATTATTTTTTTTTTTTTCCGCCGTACGCGGGCCTCTCACTGCTATGGCCTCTTCCGCTGCGGAGCACAGGCTCCAGACGCGCAGGCTCAGTGGCCATGGCTTACGGGCCCAGCTGCTCCGCGGCATGCGGGATCCTCCCAGACCGGGGCACGAACCCGTGTCCCTTGCATCGGCAGGCGGACTCTCAACCACTGCGCCGCAAGGGAAGCCCCCCACTTAATTTTATTATAGTTATTCAAATAAACTTGGCTATCTGTTTTCTAGGCTACAACATATTAGAAGAAAATTTAAGAGGTCTAAAAGTGAATACTGCCGGAGACAGGCACACTGTTACAATAGTGAAATTGACAGCTGAGCCTGCTAGTAAAGGATAACAGTGATCTGAGAGTCAGACACTGCAGTATGGAGGCCTCTGGCATGGGGCCAAATCCCTACACACCTATGTAACCCCTAGGGCTTCATTGTGTCACAGGTGGATTCGGAATTAGTTGTTTATAGTGATTACCTTGAGGCTTCAAGAAAAGGTTGAATTGCTGGCTGAGTACTCATAATTCAGCGTTTCTTTCTTCTTTTTTTTAGCGTGGAACTAGTTTTTTGATTAAAAAAAATTTTTTTTTAATTCAGTGTTTCATAAAATGTGGTCAGTTGGCTTCATGAGTCTCAATTTGCTGGGATTGTTTGTTTAAAATACTGAATCCTAGAGTTCATTCCAGACATTGATTCCCACAAGCCTAAAACTTAAGAACCATTGCTGTAAGATGACAGATAAGAATATTTTTAGGGAAGATAATTTTAGAAGATTATCAAAATTGGTAAAAAAAAAAAAAGTTAGAACCTAAAGCAGTATCTTATCTGAATATCATTAACATTAAATGTTTACTATGTGCTTAAGCACTGTACTCTAATACACGGTCATGTTTTTTTGCTGACAGTTGCCTCAGTACCTTTGAGGTTAGTTTAGTATTATTCCAGTTTTTTAGATGAGGAACTCAAGAAAGTGACTTAATGGTGGTATAATGTTGATTGTTCTCAATTATTGTTTCAATTTGATCGCTCTCTACTTGAACTGGTCTACCCGACCGTGGAGCACTGTCCAGCAAGAAATCTCCAGCACAAAACTTCACAAACCACTTTTGACACGTTTGATTAGTCACAGCACCTTCTCCATACACTGCACAAATCTTTCTGTGCGTTTCAGTTGCGTTTCTACCTTTCTTGAAATAATAAAGCATAATATGCCGAAAATGCTTTTTTTCTTCCATCTTCAGTATTAAAATTGCTACACAAAAATTCACCAATTTTGTTAAGTCTTTTTTTAAATGCTTGCTGATATGACAGCCGTCACCTACAGTCTAACAAAATTGTTTCGAATGAAGTTAAAGACAGCTAAGTGCTACTAGAGCCATCTTACGGAAAAGACCGAACAAAACTTTTGGCCCACCCAATACTTTATTATTTATTTATTTATTTTAAAAAATCATATGGTATTTGTCTGTTTTCAGTTCCCTCTTTTTTAAAAAATTAATTAATTTTATTTTTGGCTGCGTTGGGTCTTTGTTGATGTGCGCAGGCTTTCTCTAATTGCGGCAAGCAGGGGCTACTCTTTGTTGCAGTGTGAGGGCTTCTCATTGTGGTGGCTTCTCTTTGTTGCACAGAATGGGCTCTAGGCATACAGACTTCAGTAGTTGTGGCTTGCGGGCTCAGTAGTTGTGGCTTGTCAGGCTCTAGAGCACAGGCTCAGTAGTTGTGGCGCACAGGCTTAGTTGCTCTGTGGCATGTGGGATCTTCCCGGACCAGGGCTCGAACCCATGTCTCCTGCATTTGCAGGCGGATTCTTAATCACTGTGCCACCAGGGAAGTCCTCTACCCAATACTTTAGTTTAAAGTAATATCATTTTAACTCAGTTCTCTCAGTAAGTTACTTACATGAAAGTAAGTGTCATCCATATGCCCAAACCTTAAATGAATTTAGGCTGACTCAGAAGAATCCAGAACCCTGTCTGTTGCTTGGAGCAGGGACTGCCGGAGAGATCTGGGCCTTTAGATCTGGGCCTTTAGATCTGGGCTAATCCTGGAGATTCCAAATGCTGGGTGCCTACAGACTGTCAGGTACTAGGTGCTGTGGATACAACAGTGAATACGCTGGAAACATTGATTATCTCCATGTTCTTATGGAGTTTGTATTGTAGTAGTTGGAGACTTTAAGTTAACATTTATTTAAGATACTTTGAAAGTTGTAGGTGATATAAAGTAAAACAATCATTACTGTGAGAGAGTATGACAGCAGGGATTTTTTTCTAGGGGTTATTTTGAGATAGGTGACAATAAAATGTGTTCAAATGGGGACACTTTTGAGAATAAAAAGGGAGTCTGCTAATAATTAGATTAGGGACAACAGGTGTAAGCCAGGACTGTCCTGGGCAAACTGCATCACATGGTTGAAGAGAGAACATTTGAGCTGAGACCTGAATAGTGAGAAACCTGCAGTGGAGTCAACCTACTGGGTAAAGGAATAATGTTAGAGAGAGGGCAAGCTGGTAATAGTTTACTAGGCAAGGTTTGGGGGAAGAACCTGAAAATGAAATAAAGGAAAGACAAGGTCTAGGACAAGGAAAGTAAAGTATGTAATAGTAATTGGAAAGGGAAGGAGAGGTGGGGATTAAAGAACATGGGAAAGGAAGTTAAGTTGGGGCTGTAGAATAGTCGGGGTTATTTTTTTCATTCAGCCAATACTTATCGCATGTTTTTCTAGTGCCAGGCATTGGGAGGCATTGGGGATACAGGAATGAACAAAGAAGATTAAAGTATTGCCGTGGCAGCCGTTGTGCAACTCTAGGAGCCCCATTCACATTGTGCTTTTCTTGTGGCTCTTATATTCTAGTGGACAGCTAGGAAACAAGAAAACAACTCAGCGGATTTCAGATAGTGCTGTATTAAAGGAGATAAAGTAGGGTGGTATGAAACAATTATGTAAGGGCTTCTTTAGATATTTAGTGGGGAACCTGGTAAGATGGATGAATGGTAACCGTCAGATTTGGAACAGCCTAGGTAGGTGTTTAGAGGTCTAGCTTTGGGGAGAAGTTTCTGATTTGATGACATTTTAGGCAATTTCTTTTATTATGGAATCTTGTGAAATGATGAGCAGATTGAGTGGGGTGTTGTGGTGGACTGACCTGAAAGAATGCTTGGTAAGCAAAGGTTAGGATGGTGATGGTTTACATTTTATATGCCTTCTATAGTGGTAAAATGGTAATATTAAAAGTAAAAAATAAATTAATTGGTAGTATTAAGTATGAGATTCAGAAAAAGATACACATGAAAATTTTCTTTTTTACTGATGGTTTTTATATAATTTCATCCTTATTTAAAGAATCTTATTTGCATGTGACTAAAAAGTCATTAACACGCTGATGTTTAGTGATTTGAATTCACTTAAAGAACATAAGGGAGTAATATTATATGCCTTAAATTCATAGTTGCTTTAATTGTAAGGACTTTCACATGCATTAGCTCCTTTGCCCTTGAGATCTAAGAAAGGTCAAGCATTGATAAAATACCCATTTTAGAAATAAGAGAATCCCCTGAATTCAATGACAAATTAAGCTTTAGATATTCTTGATAGCTCTTTGAATTGCTTTTGGTCTGAAGGTTTAGGAGGCTGGGTTTATGGAGTGGTGTATTTGTTGGATTTGTTTTTATTTCTTTAGCCTTGTAATCTGGGGAGCCCTAGTAGTTTTGCTTTTGTTTGTTCATTATTTTGGGAGTATTTGTAATTAGGGCTTATAAATTGGAGTAATATAAAATATTCAAGCTGATTGGGATTTTCAAAACCAAACCACATCATGAAATTGTTTACTGATTGAGCAACCTTTTATGAACCGTATCATTTTTGTGCCTTGGTCAGGAAAAAAAAAAAAAATATATATATATATATATATATATATGTGTGTGTGTGTGTATATACACACACATATATATTTATTTATAATTTTTTTTATTTTAATGAGAACATACGATAAGAGGACAGGATTTGGCTACATTAAGTATAAATTTATATAATGAAATTATTATTTCATGTTGATCCTCTGTCTCTCCTTTGAAATAAGTTAGGGTAGAAATAAGTAAAGGTAGTTAAATAGTTGTGTTGAAATATCTAGAAACAAGTAAAGGTAGTTAAAAAGTTGTAACATTTCCTGCCAGCTAGAAAGGAATTAATTTGATGTCATCTAGCTTGGTTATTTTTTTGGCCGCACCTCAAGGCATGTGGGATCTTAGTTCCCTGACCAGGGATCAAACCTGTACCACCAGGGAAGTCCTCATCTAGCTACTTTTAATTTAGTACAAGCATTTCCATATTTCTTTATCTTCTAAAATACTGATTATGAAAATGAGAAAAACCAATGTACATTTGGTTTACATTCCACCTGAGAACGACTCTCAGTAATGCACAGGCTTCAAAGCAGTAGTTTTATTTAGTTTATATATATAGATCATTGTTTTTCTTGATTTAGAGAAAAAGTAAACTACTTTTTTCACATGACCTATTCTGTTATAATAATGCAGAGCTATATGGTTGCTAGTGTATTGGTGTTTACAGTTGTTCTACTTTGGTATTACTGAATGCCATGTGTTCAGTTTAATTTATAAATATTTTTGTAGTGTTTTAAAAAATAACTACTAAGCTGTTTTTTTGGGGTATGTTTAATGTGTTTGACACAAATGATACGAAGAAAACTGTACTTGAGCATCTTAATTCTAAAGGGAAAATAAAACTGTTTGGATTTAAACCCTGAAATGTAATTGTATTAAGTGAATAAATTATTTTTTCCAGGCAGACTCCAGGTTAAAAGCGCTTAATGCAACATTCAGAGTGAAAAACCCAGACAAGTAAGGTTTTGTTTTAATAACAGTTACAATGTTGTTTTGAATGGTGCCTATCAATCTATTTAATTTTTCATTTCTGAATGTATGCACTTTATTTGCTAAATATTTTAAATAGTAATTCACGTTAGTGAAATCCTTTTACAGTCTAAAACTGATTTTGAGATTTGGTAATTTAATTGGGATTAAGGTTGTAAGTAAGTAACTGAAGTTTTAGAAAATTAAACCACTGCTTTTTCCTAGAAGGATTTATTGAGTGTTGCTTAAGGTATCAGAAAAATGAGAAAAATAATTTTAATTTCATATAAAATAGTTTTTATTATTAGACTTTGCTTGTCAGATATGTACAAAACTCAAGATAATATGTTATTTATTTTAATAATAAACTATCTACTTGGAATAGCAAAAAAACTTGATAGTTGCATACTAGTATAATAATTTCGTGGAGATGTATTTATATGACAGTTACCTGACTTCATCAGTGTCACTTTGGTGTTTGTGAGAGCATTCCTATATTAAAGAAAGCTGGTGTATTCAGAAATAACTTTCCTTAGGGTGGGATCTAGGTATTTAAGATTTGGTTTTGTTCATTCTCTGAATTTGGTGGATAATTCAGGATCTTTTTTATATGGACCTTTACCTGAAGCTTGCTTCAGCTACACTTTCCAGGTAGAAATGTGCTTAGGTAGATGAGACTTTTCCATATTTGGTGACCAAGTTTACGAGGTCTGTTAGAATTTCTCTAGTCAGGCCTTCAGCATTAACTTCTACATAGTGTAAATTCTTAGCAGACAAAGGCCAAGTTTGCATAGTCTGATAGCCTATTTTGCTGGACTTTATAAACCATAACACATTAACATTGTGCCTCTGGTTTTTAGTATACATTTTGAATACAAAATATAAATAAATATTTTAAAGTTTGGTAATTAAGAAATTGTGATGGTAACCATTGAGGTTTTTATTTTATTTTTTTAATAGACTTTATTTCTTAGAGTAGTTTTAGGTTCCCAGCAAAATTAAGTGGAAAGTACAGAGCTCCCAGGTACCCTCTGCCCCTACACTTACACAGCTGCCCCTAGAGATACAGAGCCGCCCCCATTATCCCTTACCAAAGTGGTACATTTGTTATGATTGATGAACCTACATTGACTCATTGTTATCCTCTCGAAGTCCGTAATTTACATTAGGGTTTACTCTTGGTGTTATATGTTATATGGGTTTTGACTAATGTATAATGACATGCATGTGTCATTATAGTATCATAAAAAGTATTTTCACTGCCCTAAAAACCTCTTTGCTCTGCCTATTTATCCTTCCCTCCCCATAGCCCTGGCAACCACTGATCCTTTTACTGTTCCCATAGTTTTGCCTTTTCCAGAATGTTGTATCATACAATACGGAGCATTTTCAGAAAGGCTTTTGCTTTGTAATACGCATTTAAGGTTCCACTGAGGTTTTTATAAGGGCTATAATGACATCCATGGTATATGAGATGTTCTCTAGGTTAAGAACTAAATTATGTCACCCTCCAATAAAAGCTTTGGAAAACCTAAGCAGCAAAGTTTATGACATTGGTGAATGTACATTCATTCATTAGAGGAGCATGTAGATGAGACAGTTTTTAAATTAATATTTAATATTATTGTTTTGTCAGTTGAATGTTTTTTAATTTAATGAAAAATATTTTGTCAACTGAATGTTTGTCTTCCCTTTTCTGACCTACCAGCTTTTCTAGATTGCTAAATTTTGTTTAATATTGTATATTATGTATAGAATTTTAAATGTGATATGACCAATAACATAAACAAGGCAGTTTTTTGCTCCTAAGTTCTTGTTCCAGTATATAATTAATGTATAATTAGTAATAGAATTTGTTTGCCTTAAGTTTTAGATAAGAGAATTATCTATATCAGTCATTGTTGTAACAGAATTTTAATATACAGAATCTCTGTTCTAGGTCTTTCTGGCCCAATAGATTAATTATTATTCATACCATTACTGAAATAGTTTACATCACTAAAATACTTTAATTCCGTTCTTTCTTAAAATCTAGAAAACCAGAAAGATTGTTTCAGAGGTTTCAAATGATACCTCTTCATGCATGTTTATTTTTATTCAAACTAGACTGTTAAAAGCAGTGAGGAGGAGGACCTTGAGTCTCTACTTCTTTGTGGCAATACTTGGCTAATATTTAGGAGGTAGACTGAGTGATTGGTAGAATGTATGGGATGAAAGAGAGGAGAAGGAAATACAGGTGGCACCTAGGTTTCATTGTTTAAACTGCTAGGGAATAGAGGAGAGAGATTTGATGGGATAGGGGAAGATAAGTTGAGCTTTGGATATGTAAACAGGTACAAATGCCTGCTAGTTAGTTGGCTTCATAGATATGGCTTTTAGGAGAGATTTGGGCTGGAGTTATATATTTGGAGTTCAGCAGCATGTAGATCATAATTGTGAAGCTTTGTGAATAAGTCACATAGAGTGTGTAGATTGAAAGATTGGTTGTAAAATGGGTGAGGACCTAGGGTTGAATCCTAAAGAAGCCAGTGCTTGTAGGGCATTTTCCAAAGTGTAATCTGAGGATTGCCAGCATCTGAATCCTGTGAGTGCGTTTGTTATAAATTCAGATTCCTGAATTTATTCCTGTGTACAGTTGTGGTGGTTACTCATGCCCTCTTTTACTGAGAGGCCCTCAGTAGGGCTCTTAGCAAACACTTCAGGAGTCCTTTGCACACTAAAGGTGGCGGTATAAGAGATGAGTGAAGGGAGTGACTCCTGCAAAGGCGACTTTAGGAATGACCAGAGAGTAAAAGGAAAATCAGGAGAAATTAACACTGATGTCAGGGAAACAAATTTTTGAGGAGGGTGAGATCAGGTGTTACATTGCTGGAAGAACGGTGGTAATAGAAGTTTCAGGTCTTACAGAGAACGGCAGATATCAGATTACAGAAACAAAGATTACTGAGCAGCATGAAGATTAAGGTTAGAGACAATGAGTTTATGGTTGCACCATAAGATTTTTTTAGCACCATAAATGTTTTCCTGTTTTTTTGTTTTCAAACCAACAAGTATTATCTCTATCTCAGTTCCACAGTGTAAATTATGAAGTCTTTTCTTGGCTTTAAAAATATCTAGAGAAAATATGGTTATTTTGTTTTAGAACTTTCTGAGTTTGCATCGGTGTGTAAATGTTTAAGGCTAGCAAATAGTTAAATAGAATCAGTTTTATTATTCTCAGGAACTGCTATTTTGTCTTTCAGTTTTTGACTTTTCATGAGAAAAATGATGTTTTGTTTCCTGTTTCAGGAGATTTACAGAACTAAAACACTACAGTGATGAACTACAGTCTGTCATCTCACATCTTCTTCGAGTCAGAGCTGTAAGTGGTCCCCAAGAACTTTTTGACAGACATTAAAAAAGAAGTGCTTGGGCTTCCCTGGTGGCGCAGTGGTTGAGAGTCCGCCTGCCGATGCAGGGGACACGGGTTCGTGCCCGAGTCCGGGAAGATCCCACATGCCGCGGAGCAGCTGGGCCCGTGAGCCATGGCTGCTGGGCCTGCACATCCGGAGCCTGTGCTCTGCGGCGGGAGATGCCACAGCGGTGAGAGGCTCACGTACCACAAAAAAAAGAAAAAAAAAGGAAGTGCTTCTCATTTAATTGTTATGTTTTTAAGTAATGGAAGATATTTATGATGAATAACTGATTTTTATATTCAAATTTGGTGTGTTCATCACCTAAATTGCATTTTTTAAAAAAATGTGAAATGTTTTCTGGCATAAATAACTTGAAGAATTTTAGCCTGTAGTTTTCTCTGTAGTCTGTATATGGTTGTTTTGACATCTTATCGAAGGGCCTACCATTTCACTGTTGGAATATAATTAAGTGTGGGATTTTAGATCTACATATAATATCCTATTCTTTCAAGGTTTTTGTTTTTTGTCTTTTGTTTTTTCTTTTTTGCGGTACGCAGGCCTCTCACTGTATTGGCCTCTCCCGTTGTGGAGCACAGGCTCCAGACTCGCAGGCTCAGTGGCCTGTCATTTTCTGTCATCACTGTTGTCTTTATAGCAACACTGACATTGTATTCTGTACTCATTTGTTAATTATCTCCTCTACTAGTGTATGTGAGCTCCCAAGAGCAGGAGTTTGTTTTCTCGCTGTCAAATCCCTAGAATAATGCCTGACTCAGAGTAGGCACCCACTACATATTCACTGAATGGATGAATAAATGGAGGTATGTGCTGACAGTTTTATGTTTAAAAAATCTTAAAAAGCAGTAACATAAATTACTTCTTGAATTTAATTATAACCAGCCAGGGAGAACTGGTTAGTAATGTATATTTGACAAGAAATATGACCTTTAAAGAAAAATGACCTTGTCATCAGAGAGCTTACAGTACACAAGTAAGAGAATTCTGGGTATCGATATATTTACCCTAAACTTTATGAAAACAGGCTTCAGAAACTTAATTGACATAAAAGACAGCTTGAGCTCTTCAAAGGAAAGGCAGCACTTGTTCTGTGCGTGAAATTGAAATTCTGACTCTGTAAAGGAGATAAATGCCAATGGAAAATACAGAATAGTTAAAATCTTGATTGTTCTAAAATTAGGAGAAAGGCTGTTTAGTCATAGACAGTGACATAACAGTTAAAAATGGAAGGTTAGAGCCCAGCACTGACAGAAGCCTGCAAACAACACAGAATCTATCACCACAGTGAGGGCTTTTTTGTAGCATTCAGAGTGTCAGGAGAAGAAGGCTTAGACACTGTTTGAGACAGATGATGAATTGTTAACAGACAAGAGAAAATAGAATTCTTTGGCTATCCTTTCTGACAAGGAGAATTCTTTTGAAAGTAGAAAAGGCAAAAAATAAATGACTAGCAGGTTAAAGAGTTAATATTTAAGACATCAAAACAGAACAACGAGAAAGGGCAGGTGGCCTTAGACTGAGAGGAGCTGGATTTAGAACTTGTCTCTGGCATTTATCAGGTCCTTCAGGCAAATCCACTCACCTTTCAGAGTTTGTTTTCTTTGCTGGAAAATGGGAATATCTGCCTGGCACATAGTAGGTACTACATAAATATTTGTTATATGAATGAGTGTGTTATTCATAGAGTTGTGAGACTCAGATGAGATAATTTGTGTTTTGTAAACTAAGACAAAAGGAAAATAATGCTAATCTAATATTTATTTACTGTTGTATATCAGCCAAACATATTGTGTTATTCTTAAGTAATTCCGATAGTAGCCCTTTGAAGGTAGGTGCTGTAACTGTCCCCATTTTATAGATTAGGAAGCAGAGGCAAATGAATTAAGTAACTTGCCTCATATTATACTATAAATAGATATGATGAAGCCAGAATTTAAACCTTTGTCTGACTCCAGAACCCATGCTCTTAACCATCTACAAATGATATATTGACAGAGGACGTGAATTCAGGTAGATTGAGGGAGAAGAGAATTGATTTTCATTGAGCCACCTTGCTTATTGCCAGGTACCTTACAAATGTCATCTTCTTTAATCCTCAGAGTCATATGATAAGGTTCATTTCCACATTTCCAAGAGAATGATATAATACTAAAGCTAAGAGTAGTTTAATAAATTCTCAAAAGTCAAACCCTAAAGTAAGAAGGAGCTGGATTTTTTTTTTTAATATTTATTTATTTATTTTGGCTGCACTGGGTCTTAGTTGCAGCACTGGATCTTCGTTGCAGCATGTGGAATCTTTTGTTGTGGCATGCCGGCTCTTTGTTGTGGCTCATGGGCTTCTTTCTATGTGTGGTCCCTTGGCATGTGGGATCTTGGTTCCTTGACCTGGGATTGAACCCACGTCCCCTGCATTGGAGGGCATATTCTTAACCACTGGACCACCAGGGAAGTCCCAGGAGCTGGAATTTGAATTCACATTTGTCTTACTCCAAATCCCTTACTTCCTACAACCATATTTGCTGCCTCTCTAGGGGAAATCAAATTTAAAAGGAAGGGAGGAATGTTTAACTTTGCTAATACTCTAAAAATGTAAATTGAAATTATTGAGGCCCTATTTAACATTTAATTTGTAGTCATATATAAAGATGGTAATATCTAGTGTTTGTGAAATATTTGGTGACAGCGGCATTGCGTAAAGTATTACATACAGTTCCTTTGGGAAAGATTTTGGCAGTAGTATCAGGAGTCCTAAATCTCATAATCATTGCCTCCTTAGGAGATAATTCAAAAGAAAAGCTATGTGTCCAGATTTTTCAAATAAGATTATCTAATAGGCTGTCATAAGACTTTGTGTCCTTTTTAACATTTAACATTTAATCCCCTACTTCAGTGAGGATAGAGAAGACATTCTTACCATAGTTGAAAGTGATTCAGAACTGGGGAGGATGATAAGTTGACTCTGTCAGATTTCTTCTGTTGTCATATTATTTGCTAGGTGTCAGTCCTCCCCTGTCAGTTGTCAGATGATCACTTTTCAAAAAGAAAGGCTTGTCAACAGAATTGAAATTGAGTGGCAGTGTAGACTAAATCATTGTGTATAGCCCCCTTTACCTGGCACCATGATTCTTGCTTACCAACGACCACTGAATTAATCTGGTTTCAGGTTTTAATAATTCATGATTTATTTACCTGCCATTTTTGTCTTTACTTTTCTCTAGAAATGATATTTTTTGGTCTATAGTTTATAATTTTTCCTCACTTCATCTTTTTTCTCACTGCCTGATGATCTAGATACCAATCATCTCATGTTTCGGTTGGCTAGAACAATTTGTTTCCATGAGTAGTTCATTCCAGAAACATTGCTGGTCCAGTGACAACTGCTGAGTGGCTCTTTGTTGCCTCATTCACCAATAGAGTAGTTCCTTGTGTGGTTGCTCACCTTTCTGGAGTATGAGAACTCTTTCCTCTTTTTGTCATGTTCTATGGACCAAAGTATTTTCCAGAGCTCTAATTATCATGGTAAAAGTTCCTTTTGTATCAGCTGCCAGGAGTGATAAAATTTAAAGAAAAAAAGAAACTTAAATACCGGGGATTCAGAAACTTTCTTTGAACATTTATTTTGTGTATGCATTTTGTATTTAAGTTGTTCTAGTTTTTATTCTTATGTGGTTATTTAACAAGTTCTTTCCCTCTCTTCTATACTTAATATCGTACGTAGATGATAAAATGCTCAGCTGTCAGGAGGACGCTTGATCTTTAAAAGTATGAGGATCTAGGGATTTCCCTGGCGGTCCAGTGGTTAAGACTCCGCATTTCCACTGCAGGGGGCAGGGTTCTCTCCCTGTTTGGGGAACTAAGATACTGCATGCCACACAGCGCGGCCAAAAAAAAAAAGTACGGGCTTCCCTGGTGGCACAGTGGTTGAGAGTCCGCCTGCCGATGCAGGGGATGTGGG